ATAGGGAAAAGACTTTCATATGTGTATCAAAATTTTTCAGGCTGGGGCAATGCTAGCCCGCGTCCAGCTCAAAAACATACAAAGTGGCCCTTAACAGCCCTACTTAGAACGCTATCTCTCTGACAAGTATCATCTAAGGTCCATGAACCTGAGAAGGAATTACTTTCCATTTATCGCATTGAAGCTTACTAGTTATTGTAACCTATTAAGGTGTAATTACTTTTTATTACCTGAGAGAGACAGAAAGATGCTTACCAATAATGTCATAACTTTATATTTAGAAGGAAAATGTGTTAACAAGAAATTTAAGAATTTAATCCCATAGTTCTGGACAAAGTACTATATTGTCTAATAAGGAGGGAGCTTAGATATTATCCTGCAAGTAAATACAGCTATGCATAGTAAATGCATATTACAGTAATTGAAAATGCATAATTCAGTAGATTACAACATCCATCTTACTATATGAGCTTCTATAGGGAGGAGTTGAGATCTATACAGTGGGAAACTGCGAACTAACAATTCATAAATCATCTAGATTATCATTCATTAAGGCGTGCTCGTAGGCTCAGCATGGCTGTCGTTGTAGGTACAACAGGGGTCCATGGAAGCCTTTTTGTTGCCGTAGATAGATAGGAGCATTCAAGTCTGGGTGAACAAAAGAGTACTTTTTGTCATCATCCCATTACTCAGTTGCATCTAAGACTCATTGATTGATCCATAACTTAATAAAACCACTTGTCACTCTCATGTACCATCTTTTACATGACAGCAGAGCAAAGGTCAAATCCTAGAGTTTCCCTACACATCAGATTAATGGATTTCAATTAGGGATGAGGTTTTCTATAAGGCCTAGGCATTATGAAAACAAAATAAAGCCTCACATCAGATCCCCGCCCAAAAAGCACTTTCGGCAATGGAAATCTCCATGATGGCTCTAAAATCAATTTCCAACACCGACAGTGAAACTCGAAACTCAAAAAATAGTACAAATCTTGCGGATCAATGAACACTTATTTTTAGGGCGAAATGGACGGTCTAGATAATTTGTTACAAAAATCATATTTTTAGAGCTTGAAATCCCTTTTTTTTTCACAACCATAATGTTAGAGCTAGGATGATCGATGTAACGGTTTTCTAATGTTTGAATTGCAATTTTTTATGAGTTATAAAGTGAGGCTTTACTTATTTTGACAGGGCTGCAGCCCTATCAAACCATTTTCCTTTGAATTATAGTGCTAAGATTCCTTGAAGTTTTCTATTGCATTCTATGTAGCAAATTTCACTGATCTAACTGTTCACAATTCACAATGATCAAGCTATAAACAAAGATGTGGAGTCAAAATCTTCTGAAACATTGAGGCTTCTGGTCTTCCTGGTGTCAGGAACATTTGACGAGTGGATCAATTGCTGATAGAGACTGCATTCTCACAGAACTGCTCTGTCCTAATTTAAACACACATGTATCAAATTTTGTGACGTTCAGATTACCATTTAGGGATTTTGAAGTCATTCACAATAATTCTTTTGTCTATATAGCTGTTTCAAAATCTGTGTTTATTAGCTATGTCAGGAGCAGTGAAGTTATAAATTAACTCTTTGGATATTAACCAGTCTCGATTCACTGCATCGTCAAAGCTAATGACAACATTCCCATCAATGAAGCATCTTCTCCATTTTTATCTTAGCTTACATGAACTGCATGAAACTTTAGCATGGCAATAACTCTTAGAATTAACAGATGCATACCATTATTTAATTGTCATTACAACTAAGAACGAAATGCAAATTTGGACATAATGGCAAAATTGAAGCTCAAGAAGAAAAGAGGCAGGGCAGATTATAAACCAAACTACATATCTGACAATACTCACAAAACGATGAAATTGAACGTAGGTATGAAGTCCCAATGCACCATAGTTCTGTTTCGGAATTTTAGTAAAGCATTTATGCACATTATAGAAAAAGGAGAAAATAAACTCCTTGTTAAGAAGAAAATACCTACCAGTTCGCAAAAACTCTGGCGGTGTATAAGCAAGATTTGTGCTGTAACTTTTTCCATCTCTGCTATTTTTCATAAGACCAAAACAGGAAAGTCTAGGATCACCATCCTGTGAAAATAAGACACAATGAATTTTGATTCCCCATGAAGAACAGATTGAAACTTCTTACAGGTAACACTGTTTACACTAGATTTGTTTCAAAAATCAAGCTTTATCTGCTTAATATACAGAGATCATCCATTAAAAGAAAAAATATGGATTTATCAACAAAATAACATACAAACTTTGTAAAGAGATTATGCCCTAATAGGAACAAATACCATTCACGTGATGGAAAAATCCCTTGCACAAATCAATGATTTCATTGACAAGAGTATAGGAGAAGATGAAATATTTCAAGCAAGTCAAGAACTAGATGATGCTTCAGTTCCGCATTTGTTATGACAGATTCAGCATACACAATAGATTTCCTTCCTTCCTGTTTTGTCTATATTTTGTCTGTAAGTATGAATGTTCATATTGTGTAAGGGGGGATGGAGGGGAGGGTAAGTTTGCATAAGGGAGACCAAAAGGGCGAATGAGATACTGGAGTCTTAAATGCCATACAAGAAACGAGAGAAAAGAAAAGGATGCCATGCACATTGCAAGCAATTATATTGATATACCCAAAAAAAACTCCCTAATTCACCTGAAAAAGTAGGAATCAATGCATTGCACAAACATATGCTGGTTTTACCGAGGAAACTCAACTGTTGATTTCATATATTTTGCTTTTTAAAATAATTGACGAACCTAGTGGCCAAGTTTGCCCACAACTACTAATGGGATGGAATATGAGAAAATGAGAGTCAAGGTTATCCACGTCAACAATGTTTCATGAAGAGGCAAATTAAGTAAACCTTCATAAGAAGAAAAATCTCTCTCATTGATCCCACCCCTACCTAACCAGAATAGAAAAAAGAGAACTGCCTATGGAGCTGAAAGTAACATGGAGCCATTGTTGAAGCTATTTCACCTCTACTGTGCAGCCCTGCTAGAGGATATCGAATCCCATTTGCATTTTATAAAGGAATTTCACCACTTTCAAATAGACAGATTCAAGCAATACACAGTGACAAGGTTAATAGATTATAATAGCTTCTGAAGCATCACTGCAACTCAAAATCATAGAGGAAATTCCAGGTAATGCTTGATACAGGAAAGAATAGCATCTTTCTTTGCATGGCCATCAACTTGCTCTAACTATACAAACATTCAAAGCAGCCACCTATTACAAGAAAATAATCAAATCAGCCAACATGCCAACTTGTTTCTTTCTCTCCTCTTTGAGAAAACTATGAAGACAATGCTGAAGAGGACCCGGGGCCTGTGATTATTGCTTAAATGGCTTTAGCCATCTTCCTAAGCGTTTAAGAGAACTAACCCCCTTCAGTACATAATCCTGTGGTACATATCTAACCAAACTCTTCATTCACATATAGTAGCCAATCAATGCAGTTGGTTAATTTTCAATATCTTATAGAAGACGATAGCTGACATATTATTTCATATCCACACTTTCTGATCAGAAAACAGGATTTGTGGGACAACTTAAGAGAACCAACAGGCATAATATTTTTCTTCCTGCAAATCCCAGTTGAAGAACACTACAAATCTTATTTATTAATTGCACATATGTTAAAATAATCACAAAAATATCCTTTGGCAGAAGACCTAAACATGTTATTCATCAAATGCACAACTTGCACATTTGAAGAAATAACCAATGTGGCAATTTGCAGTTTAACTTGACTGATAATGAACACTTATGAAGCATGCAGGAGACATATCATACCGCAGTTCTCATGACAACATACAGCAAATAAGTATCGTTGGAAAGTTGTTTTCTGTGGTTAAGACAGCATGGGATTTTATCTTGACCGATAATGAACACTTATGAAGCATGCAGGAGACATATCATACAGCAGTTCTCATGACAACATACAGCAAATAAGTATCGTTGGAAAGTTGTTTTCTGTGGTTAAGACAGCATGGGATTCTATTGTACAAAGAGAGCATGAGTGATTATTGGAAGTGAAAACAAAGTCCTCAAGAATTACTACTTTCAAGTAAGAAAATCAAATATGATCAAGGAAGAATGTGGGTATCACCTTATCAAAGAGAACTCTATAGGCATTCAAGTCATGATATATTGGCCGGCCTTCACTGCTGCAGTACTCTAATGCTTCAGCAATATAGAGGGCAACTCGTAGACGCATCGCCCATTCCATCGTTTGATTTTCCCCTATCAAAAAAGAATACCAAAGCACATGAAATTTGCAGACTACTAAATGAAAAAGGAAAAGATACAATCATGCAAGGAGACAAATGTGCGTATAAATTTATCAGTGGACATGGGAACTAGTAGGTAGTATAAAGAAAGAGGCACCTGAATTTTCTATTTCTAACAGACAAGAGAAACCAAATAGACAAAAAAAGTACGAAACCATGGGCATAACTTCAAGGCATCAAACAAACAATCAATGAACATATGCAAGGGTCAGACTGCCCTTTATTGAGGTAACGAAAGAGTTCATAATAAGGTAGAGCAAGGTGCCAAGAACATGAGTTGGAAATTTCATGGCAAAAAATAAATATGCATTTTCAAACCAAAAACACTAGATGTTTCAAGTAATTCAGAGACCCTAAAATGAAGCAGCACATTTTGAGAAGCGAAGATATCTTCGAAGTAACATTTGAACCAAGGTTCAGAAACTCAACTTGGCCAAGGGACACGGCTGACAATCGACTGAGAAATCGATGGATTCACGAAGCATACCCAAAAACAGTGTGTTCTTCACAGATCCAAGGAGAAAACACGAAAATCTCAAGATTGTAAGACTCCAATAAGCAAATTGATAGAGGGATTTCATAGAAGACCATAAAATCTACAAAATGAAACAAGAATAAGTCGAAAAGACTGAGATTCAAGGATGACCAAGAAGAAATGGCAGGCTGGTTTTTTGGCTCTGTGGAACTCCAAAGAAAGCTAGAATTTTTATCAACCTTTCATTTTTTGTGTGATCCTTATGGGGTTTTATAAACCCCAATCGATTCCTTGTTTCAATTATTTCTATAAAAGGCACAATTGTTTCTGAATAAAGCTCATAAATTGCCTGAAAAAACCTAGCTCATAATGGAGCTTATGTGCCAGAATCAGGACGAGTCTTGCACATTACGACATTACTCAGCCAAGTCCTACGTATCTCGCCAAAGCAATGCACTGCTTGGGGAAGCACATGAGGTACACCTACAACATACAAGTAGGGTGTACGCCCGACTCCGCCTCACCCATAGGGAGAGTCTGAGTAGCTCGTTCGAGTTGACTTGGGCCAGTCATAGAACCATGATTCAAACAAACAGGAAACAATCTTTCAGGAAAAATTGTAGTAACTTGATAAATGAATAAATAAAGGAGTAACAACAAAGAAATCTATGGAAATGAGACCACAATATAAACAAAACAATAACAGACCATGACATCTATGAAAAATCATAAGAAACCATGCTACCAAAAGCACATTGATCACGATTTCAGTACGAGAAGATGAAGATCGAAGATGAGCAAGATGCAGCTTGTTGGTTCCTTGTAAACACAACCAAAATATATGAGAACTAAAAAGTGGCAGCTGTTCAATCAGCTGACACACTATTAGAGATATCAAATAAGAAGATTTCCAGTAGGGAAATTGATCTAGAGAGAGAGACAGACACACACACAAGTGCACAAGAATTTACATCATGTCCTTCATTTCAGATCCAAAAGACAAGAGTCTTTCTCATTTGGCATTGTACAAGCATAACTAAAATGCATGCTTCGAGACAAAAGAACAAAATCAGGCAATAGAGTATATATGCTTAAGATGGGAAATTTCGATTCGATTCCTTCACTGTGACCCTCACCATAACCTAAAGATAAGACCCCCACACTGGAAATCATGAAAACGGGAGATTAAAGTATTGAACAACATACAGTGAAAGAGATGCTTGGCAAGTGTATCGTTGGGCATGTACTCTGCAACCAAGAGCCTTTCATCACTATCGCAGCAGTACCCGATCAAATTCGCTACCCTTCTGTGCCTCAATTTCCCAACCCCCCAGGCCTCCTCCTGCAAAAACACATTGATAATCCCCAATTTAGAGAGAAACACATGAAACTAGAAAAAGTAGAGAGAGAGAGAGAGAGAGAGAAACATTCCATGAGAGTATTTACAGTATTTAGAGAGAGAACGAGAACTATTAAAAGTAAAGAGAAAGTCACACTAAGAAACCATTAGAGTGGACAAGAGAAAGCAATACCGCGAATTGCTTGGGATCAGGCCAGGCCATCTTAGAGAACTTCTTGACCGCGATCCACTGCTTGTTGTGAAGCCTGCCCTTGTAAACCACATTGGGAGCCTTGTCTCCGCTCTCTGAAACAATGAGCTCTGAGTTGAAATTCTGAGTAGCCGCCCTCAAATCCTCAAGGGACAACTCAGAGAACGCAGGCACGTTCCCCACTTCCAACGCCTCCTTATCCGAAGCAGTCGCAAGCTCCTGATGCTGATCTTGATCTGGGTGCGTCTCCTTCAACGTAGATTCACAACACCCCATCTCTATGAAAGACCTTCTCTCCTGTACTCTCAGCAAGTGGGTTTCTGAGCTTTCTGCTTATTTTGATTTCTCTCTCTCATGAATGTGTAGAGTAATAAAAAGGCGATCCGATGACCTGTGTGCGCTTTGTGCAATGAAGAGGCTATGCAGTTGCAGAGCAACGCAATAAAAAAAGAGTTACGTCACCTGCAAACTCACTCACTTTCTCTCTCTACAAAAAAAAACGCGGCAATAAAAAAGGATCACCAGAAAACAAGTGGAAAATCAGACCGGAGAATTTGAGTGTTGCACTCCCTCCCTCCCTCCCTCCCTCCCTCCCTTATTTTGTGCCGTGCCCTTTTGGATGCGGTCTAAAATGCCCCTCACGTCTCCGTGCAGAACTTTGAGACGTACAGATATTTGTGGTGGATGAAAGGGCATTTCTGTAACTTGTTTTAAGAATAGCGACTCCTCCCTCGGATAAAGAAGTCTAAGGAGTTGAGTTCACACAAGATACGCTTAAATGCATGTTAAATTAGTAGAGGAACAACTCACACAAACACCTTCCTATTTCTATGCACCCCCCATCAGCATGGAACGCGCCCATGGAGGTTAGATTGGGTAAATGTGAAGGTCCATAATGGTGGATCGGCGGTCCTGATCGGCAATCCGGCTCTTGCTCCTGCTCACTTAGTGAGTTAGGCAATTAAAAAACTAAAAATTTGAGGAATAAAAAAATTGAAAAAGTATTAAAAATAAAATGAAAGATTTTAGACAGAACCAACCAGATAGTTCTATCACAAACACCAATCCGAAATGGCCGGTTCTTAATATTTAAGTGCTAGATCAACCTTGATGATTCCCAATTTGAAAGGGCCAGTTTGATTTGCTCATTTTAAAACCTTGATAAATATCATGAGAGAATTTACATCAATAGGCCAATGCCAATGTTGATTTCGCATTCCATCGGACTACGCATTTTTTATATTTTGGTGGGAATTTCAAGCTTTAAACTTTAAAAAACCAAGACAAGGAAACGTGTGTGTTATATTGGCATTTGACGAGTGAATATGTTGAGGGCCCAATTTGGTTTTCCTTGACCCAATTTTAGAGGAGTTTTCTTTTTTCCTTTTTTTTTTTTTTTTTTCCTTTTTTTTAATGCAAAGGGGGTCTTTCAAAAATAAACTTATTTCAACTCTAAAAAATTAGATGTGCGGAAGGGTACCCTTCCACTTTACAGCTTCCACACAGTAATATCAAACATGCAAGTAGGATATTTGTCTCCCACTTCTATAAACTCCTGCTTATCAAACACCAAACACGCCCTAGGGAGCATAGTGTAGCCAAGCGCTTTCTTCCTCATCCATGATCAATTGTGGATGAAAAGTGAAAAATGGACAATGGAGACAACTTAAGAACTCATGTACAGGTGGAGAAGTACAATGAAACTTAGGGTGTGTTTGTATGGATCACAGAACGTGAGTAGAAGTAATTTCCCTGATTCATTTGACACTTATCGGACACTTTGGAGGTAAGCCTCGTCTTTTAATTCCATTTATTTGGAAAATGCCACAAAATGGGGTATAATTCACTACGAACCTCACTAAAGAAATATTCTTTCATTGGGTATTAAAACTTTAAAGTCATCAAGTAGACCACTTCCTTAATCCCCTTAAACTGGATTTTGTGACTTTAAAATCATAATCACCTCAAAAATAGTTTGGAAAAAGTTTATACAAGGTTGCAACCTTATACTATACCGGTAAGGTGCTCTTTCAAACTCCAGTAAAAAACAAAAAAAGTGTTCTGAAGTTGGGATCCAATGATCGTCTCGATCTCAAGATGTACGGATATAAAGAAAAAAAGTATTTCAAGACCGAGAAATAGTGTACCTTGTAAAAAGTTATTTGAAATGTCTATTTTCAAGATTTTCAACTTCTTATAGATCTGTTCGAACTATATATCTTTCGAATATTTAAATTTCATAACTAGAGTTGAACATAAATTTTCAAGCCATTGCAAGATTTGTGACACTAGAATTACATCCCCTAATATAATTTAAAGGCGAGCTTTACTCTTAGGGTGAGGTCTTTATGAGTCCTAGGTTTCATGACAATAAAATAAAGCCTCACCTCAAATCCTCATCTGGAAAGTACTTTTGGCGACGAAAATTTCTATGATGGCTCTAAAATCAATTTTCAATACTGACAAATAAAAATTGAAACCCAAAAACTAATATAGATCTTGTGGATCTGTGAACACTTATTTTTAAAGCAAAATGAACGGTCTAGATAATTTGTTACAATATACAGTATTTCTAGACCTTGAAATCCTGTTGTTTTATTCACAACCATAATGTTCAAGTCAAGATGATCGATGTAAAAGTTTCTTGCTTACAACTTTGATGAATTATAAGGTGAGGATTTACTTATTTTAATAGGGCTGCAGCCCCATGAAACCATTTTCCTCACTTTTATTTTATGGTATAAGGTGCGTACCCAAATAGTTTTCTTCGGATATGGAGCAAATTTGCAATTGACATGTAGCACCACACGTTGCTTTCAAAATTATGCTCGACTATGAATACTACCTTTCCTCCACAAAGAGTCATTGTTTAATAAAAATATGGAATGGGGTTTAAGTTTGCTCGATAGGTGATTACACACTCTTAATTAAGTAGATAGAAAACTTTAACTAAATCATAGTCGAAGTTAAGAGAATGGTGATTACACGCACTTAAGTGGATAGAAAACTTTAATTAAATTATAGTCAAAGCTAAGAGAATCTATGCTTTAATGGAAAGTGACATCCTCTTTGCACCCACATTGTTTATGAATCGTAAATTGGAACGTTGTTTTGTAAAAGGAAAATGGTTTGATGGGGCTGCAGCCCTATCAAAATAAGTAAAGCCTTACTTAATGACTCATCGAAATTTGTAATTCAAACATTGAAAAACCTTTATATTGGTCATCTCAACTTAAACATTATTGGTGTGAAAAAAAATTAGGATTTC